TTTATTATTATTATTATTAATATTGTAATTATTATTGTTATTATTATTACGCGCACTATTACAATTATTTTAGAAAAGAATAGTTTCTTTTATATAGCGCATAGCCACGCTCTACAGATGCTATGTGCGCTTTGCAACTACAATATTTAGCATGCCAGCTGGTTGCCCACTAGTTAAATGGACCTGATCTGCATGACACTGATCAAATCGGATCAGATCGGGTCGGGTCGATTAATGTTAGTGCTAGTTCACGCTACGTCAAACTGATCTCTTCTTTGCTTTTTTAGATCTGACCTGATAGTCTTTAGAGCCTATCACATCCATCGTGCAAACACGATATTTGAGTGAGGTACACTACATCGCTCTGGGCTCATATTGGTAGAGGAGCAGTTGAAGTAAGCGTTGTCGTTCCAGTCCAAGAATCCCTTTTCCGAGTCACTGAGGCCGCAGCACCCTAGCTGTAAAAGAAGGATATGAGTGGCACTGTGGTGAAATTAGTAAAGTAAAGTTGTTCCCGCATCCGATCTGGACATTGGGGATTGTCTTGTTGGCGAGACAACTTCCTTTTATGGGCCTTCGGTATATTGTGGTAGGGTGGCCAGTTCCTTTCCACGCTGCCTTTACTTTCCCAACTCGAAATTAATATCTCGTCAAAATAACCAAATCAAAGACAACCCCGGCCACTCTTGGTCACTTTTAAAAATCGATTTTTATTAAACTTAAAACTTTTTATGTCCATATTTATAAAACACATTGCTGTTGTCGTTGTATAAAAACGTTGACCAAAGGCATCAACCCCCCGCCAGTTTCTAACGACGCTCAAGCTTTGGAAGTCAAGAAACTTTGGTGGGCTTTTTCTCATTAATTTTACCTCTGATACCAGGCGATCCTCACCTGAAGAAGAAGATTACAAGGTGACTGCCGTGTCCGCGGTATCTTTGGCACCACAGGAATACCCCGGGAGTTTAAATGATATCGCTTAGAGGGTTGTGTCACTGGCATTTGAGTAAAAGGCTTGGGGAAAATCGAAAACCCAATTCGATAATATCAGTAAGTTCACCGTTTGCGGGCCGTATTCGTACTCTAAAGTGTCGAATAAGCGTCCCCCTCCCCCGGCTTATTAATTTTCAGGGTTTTATTGCGCAACCCC